CACCGCAGCAGCATTCTGAGGAGGCGATACACCCTTGACTTAATAGCACGCTCACACAAACAAACACACCCACTTATAAACAAAATCTGCAGGAAACATTAGTCTGTGCATGGCTCGAACTTAAAGGAGGAAGATGTGAAGCGGAGGTTTGTGCGTCAGGATAATAAAGGCACGAAGTGCAGGTGTAATACCACCTGCCGTCGGAGCTTTAACTTGATACGTGACTCTTGTGACCCTGGAAACCTTCCTCACCCCTGAATCCGAGCAGAAAGTAGCGCTCATATTTTCACTTCTGTCATATCATGAATAAACACGAATAAACACGTCACCCGATGCCAATGGAAGCCAGGCATGCGCATGCATCACACTGACTCCACTGTTTTAGAGATGATGTTATATGCTTAAGGCCATGAGCTATTCAAAGCCTCCATAGTTCCTCCTTCCTGAACACAGACTCAGTCATCCAGAGAATGCTGTTGCAGAATGCACTTTGTGCTGAGCCCTCTTTGCTCCCGTATACAGTCTTCATGTTCCGATAGATTTGACATCATATACCTAAATGGTCCACTGAGTGATAAAGCCTCCTCCTGCAGAGGTTTTTTTTTTTTAAACACTTGGCTGGTTGTTGTGGAGGCATTTTTGTTTACCATGGAAAGGATCCCACGATCATCTACCAGACTTCAATAAAGTCCTGAAACAGTTGCATCTTGGCTGCTTGTGTCGTCTTGCCACCCAGCAGACATCATGGCAGTATCTCTGGGCAGTTATAGCCAGTTACGAACACCTAAAAAACAAATTTATATGTTTATTTCTGCTGTTAAGTTAGGCATTTTAACACTATAACATGGGAGCTCAGGGGCTGACCAAGTTTTAAAGCCTGTCTGAAATGGCTTCATTGAGGATCTTCAGATTTTTGCTCTTTCACTCTGGCTTAATTTGAAATTTCCAGATGTTGCAGGTTGGGTTTTTTCTTCTGTTAACTCAGACATTTCTTTTTAAAGCGCCATGAAATGCTTTTTGTAAATAAATATATGGGGTTTTTTTCTATGACATTACACAACAAAACGCTCACAGCAGCATGTAACACATAGAGAAGAACATCTTAACAGTTGTCAGGAAGCCCAAAAAGGAAGGAATAAGGTCATCTGCAATATCACAGCTGATGATATTTCCTACATCTATAGTCTCTCTTGCTGTTTAGGTGTGTCCGGATTTGATTTTAAAATGAAATTCTCTTCTTTTTTTTAAACTACAGTTTAATTAGAGCTGCAGGCTCACTTTGCTCTTCGTCAGGAGTATATTTTACAACCTTTCAAGGGTGGAGTTTGTTCCTTTAAACAGCCAGAAGACACAAACAACAGAGTTTTCCCTCCAAAAACTGGACTATCTGTCATAACAAATCAACGTAGAATTGTCATCTCTGTATGCTGTGAATGACCCTTTTTTGGCGTTTTTGACTGTTTTTCTGTTTAAAATAGATAAACCAGAGTGTTTCACAACTCAGTGTAAAAATAGACCGGTCACAGAAACAACAGATGTGATATATATAATCATGCACCAAGCAGATGATGTGTGTTATCCACAGAGTATTGTTTGTGTAATCAGCATTGTTGCATGTAGCATGGCGCAGCGTCAGGCTAAAAACATCAAGAGGTTTTATTCACAGGAGTCCAAGAAATTCAACTCCAGGTATGAAAAATGTTCTCTCTTCTCTTTTTTGAGGAGCTGGATCATGTCTCATTCAGACACATTCCCAGCTCAAGTCCAGACTGTCTACAGTTAGTCGTTTCCACAGCCTCTGTGCGTTTAGATTGTGTAATCTAATGTAAGATTCGGGGAAAAAAGTCCTCTGGCTCTTTTTCTGTGTCTGCAATCTCAATTTTCAAGGCCCTCATTTTCCCAGTTTCCTCTCATTCGAAATCCAGTTCTGAGATGAAATGTGAACCTTGGAAACTGGAGCTCTTATGTCAGAGTTAAGTAGTCTTCAGTCTGTGCCTGAGCCTTTCCACCTGATTCTGCATGTTGCTGCCTGCACCCAGTCCTAGTGGTTAAAGTCCTCTGTCACAAAGTGTTATAGGCAGACTTCCTCTGAAGTGTCCATGTTGCTTCAGAGTGAAAATATTTTATGCCACTTGTTGGGTGTTTCATTGAAGTTCTTTCATTTTTCTGCCAGACTTTCACCATATGAGGATGTCCCTGCTGTGCTTAAAGTGATCTAGTCCCCTAATTACCCCACAGCCCAGACTCCTCGGCAGTCCGCAACTAATTACTTCCACGTGTGCGAACCTGGCTCAGCAACAGTGAGAGGCCTCCTCTCCTCTCCTCTTCAAAGTTAATGTTGTAGCGATACAGGAGGGGTAAGCTCTATAGTGAATGTTTGTTTGGTGAAAAATGGATTTGAAGTTTTGAGTGATTAAGCAGAACTCATGTAGAAGAGATGGTGGACTCTATATTTAGGCAGAAGTCTGAAGCGGTGGTGAGGAGGAGGAAGACAACAGTGAGTGCATTTAACAAAGAGGCTGTAATTCAACTTCAAGTGACACGAAAAGAGACAAAGGAGGAAAACACGGCAGGAAAATAACCGAGCGGAAACCATTCTGACAAAGGGCGTTGCATCAATAGGAGAAAAGTTTTGGATCTTGGTAATCGAAGGGAGGGTGTGAGGAAGTGAGAACAATGGAGCTGAAAAATGAAACAAAAACATTGTGTGAACACCACAAGTGAGCACCCTGTCATTTGAAGTCTAGTTTCTTTCTTGCTTGTTAGAAAATAACAGTTGCTTTCATCCAGTCAATTTTTTTTTGTTTGTTTTCTTGACTAATTGGTTGGTTTATAACCTAAAAAAGGGCCTCAAATGCAGTCGGATTCTGTTGTTCAAACAGACCTCTAGTTTTTTTAAATTAATGAATTGGTCAACATTTTGGAAAGCACACACATTCCTTTGGCAGAGACTTTGATGACAGCTAATAATACTCAGATTTTTCTCTTACATAAAAGACACATTAAAGACACAATCACAGCATCATTAAAGCTCTTAACCTGACGAGTAGTGTCCACAGCTGCTTTTTAACCACAAACCTCTTGGAGTTTCCACAGGTTGCTGCCAGCTGCCTGATTTACTATCAAAATGTGTGAATCTATTAACCGACTGACTCCTTTTTTAAGCTCAGACACAGTATTTCTCTTACTGAAAAAAAAATTCTTATGTAATACAAGATGGAAAGCTTAGACTGTCTTAAAGATGAACATCTTTATGCGGCACTGTGAAAAAAAATGGTGCACTTTATCAAAACGCTGAGCCCTGCCTTGAAGAAACACGCCTTTATTTTTTTTAACTCATTGTTAGATTACTGTGTGAGCATCATCATTCAGATGTTTCGCTCTAACAGTCGCATTGTTATGCACCCTATATACACCTTTTCTGGATGTGTTTAGTTATAATGTGTCATTTTCCCAAAGCATCTGTTTCATGTCAATCATACTGCCATGACATCATCACGCAGCTGCGGCTGCACACCTGTGATGTGAATCCCCTATTCCATCACATGAGATGATGCTGATGACTGCTGACGTACGTTTGACTACAGTGAACTTATTATCATGTTGCAAGAAACCAGTTTGAGATGTTTTTAACTTTGTGGCATGGGGCGTTATCCTGCCTACGCTGTTGACACAGGACAGGATGGTTCCATGTTTTCATGTTGAGACCAGGCAACATCTGCTGCAGTGTCTCGTGACACCTTGTGCGTTCAGAGATGCTCCTCTGCATACCTTGATTGTAACAAGTGGCTGCTAACCTTACTGCTGCCTTCCTATCGACTTGAAGCAGTCATTCTGCCTTGACCTCTTACATCAACAAGGCATTTTCTGCCACAAACTGGATATTTTCTTTTTTTGGCTCATTGTCTGTAAACACTAGAGACGACTGTGGAGTAAAATTTCAGCAGGTCAGCAGTTTCTAAAGCACTCAGCCCGTCCGGCACCAAAAACCGCGGCAGTTTCAAACCATCTTTCTTTTCCTATTTTGATGCACAGTTTGAACAAAATGTATTGATTTGGCTCCATGTGATTGGCTGATAAGATTAAACAAGTTGCACTAATGAGCAGTCGAACTGCTGTGCCTAATGAAGTGGCCAGTGAGTATTTTTTGCTGTGTGATGTAATTGCAGCACATTTAATAATAACTGTCTTGATTTGCTCTTAAGTATACGTGTAGCTTATGATGTTAATTCATAATTGCAGTGCATGTGTTTGGAAGTCTTACTGACGCTCAGGTATCACAAACATTTGGGATGTTACAAAGACCTAACATGGATCGAAGCACAATAACGAGATGGCCTTCATGACTACGCTTTCACTCCCACTTCACTAGCTTGTTTGGGTTTTATCTTTCTCTGTGGATTCATCACTGCTTGCTGTTTTCTTACAGTCCTGCTCTCTCTCTCTCTCTCTTATCTCTTTCCTGCGATTGTTCTTATTGTGGGAATTTCAACAACTTTGCACTTAAATAAACACAGCGGGGAACCTAATAAACCTGCAGTGAGTACTGTATATGCCTTTAAGGCCAGCCGCTTTCCCACGAACTTCAAGATCTTTCCCATATGCCACAGTGAAGCCGTTATACAGATCAATGACTTTACCTGCTTTCTTGCTCAGGCCGACTGGCTTCAGGGACTCATTCATTTTTTTTATAGTGGCACGGTTCAAAGTGAAGATTTTACGCTGCCCTGCTTATGCTGCAAACCCGTTGGTCTGTCTTCCATACTTATGCTGTACATTACTGAATCATAAGGCTGTTCACATCACTCTATGAAAGATCATATAAAAGTCTGCCTCTGACTCAGGGGATCCTAAATCAGCACTTTCAGTCTGACAAAACTCATGAATACATATCGATGGATTTCAAAGTATGAAATACTTGTATTTTAGTGAATCAATGAATTCATGCTTTATCAACTTATATTTCTAAGACTGCGCCTGTTGCCTTTTCCTCTCTGCAGTTGTGTGTCCCTTGACGTGTTTGAATGGAGGAGTATGCAGCTCAAGGAAGCACTGCCTGTGCCCTCCCGGCTTCACCGGTCGACTCTGCCAGTTTCCTCTCCAGCAAGCCCAGGCAGCGCGAGGCAACGAGCAGCCTGTGTACCCCGTAGCTTTAAAGCCAGACGGCCAGAAATTTGTGGAGTCAAGCATAAGCCGCAGCCAGTTTACACACACGTCGTCAATGTCAATCTTCAACGTCCCCTTATCACAGCCGGGGCATCACTCCTCAGAAGGTACCTATCGTCTGCCTCAGCACTTCTCACATTGTAATATCTCTTCTTCCCTTTCCTTTCATATCTGATTTTTCTCTTCCAGTGCAGTTTAATGTACGTGTTCACCACACGCCAGACACCTCCGTAATCATTCACTCACTCGACTCAATGGATATCAAACCTCCTCACAAAACGGGGACACGCCAGGTCCTGGTGAGGCGCAAACCAAAGGGGCGCTGCTTTCAAGAGACCACGCCCAAACAAGCCGTGAGTTCAGTTGTAAGAAGTTTTGAACTTGAAATATAGATGCGTTCCTTGTTTTCCCATTGTTAATATTTCTCAATATTGGTCTTTTAGTGCAACAGCACCCCGCTTCCTGTTCTGACCAATCAGGAGGATTGCTGTGGGAGTGTGGGGAATTCATGGGGACAAAACAAATGTTATCAGTGCCCCAAATTACCAAGTGAGTACCTCAAGAAATGTCCTTTTTTACCAGCTTTGTAAATGTCACACATCTAGGGTTTATATCTTTCATCTTTATCTACAGTATTAAGATTTTTTTTTTTTTTAAATCAACATCTTGTGTGTTCCCGGGAATAAAATTACTGTTTATTGAGCCAAAAATGTGAAGCATTCCCACCAATTTATACCTTCCACCTTCTGAAATTATGGCCCTGGATTAAAACAATCACTTTGTACCTCTATTAAAAAAACGAGTGTCTGAACGTCTACATGAAAGTTAGCGGTAAGGTGGGGGAAACGGAAGAAATTATGAGAATTACACACAGACAGTGAGACAGAAAAAGAGAATGTGGAAAATAACCCTCTAGTTAAGCATGTTCCTATGGGCCTGCCCAGTTCAGCGCTGTCATCACGCTGCAGAAGATCAAATTTCATGAAAATCTTGGCTACTCGTGCTTTTTCCACTCCGCTATTATTCCCTCTCTCAGTTCTGGCTTCAGACAATGTGGCCTTCGACAAAACCTGATCCTGGTTAGTCTTTTAAAAGCTGTTTTTGCAAAAAGTGCTATCTGTTTTGTTACACCTGGTTGTATTTTTAATCTTTTTTTTTCTTTTTCAATGAGATGATAAAGGTAAGCTGCGGTGTTGCCTCTGTTTCCATTGTGATTTCACAATGCGCAGTGTTTCCACGGCTCTGTCATAAAACAGCTTTGCATGTTTTTACTCCCTGATGGAAAGTTGAACAGTAAGAAGGAGGAGGAGAATACCGTGGTTTATTATTTCAGGTCTCATGAAAGAAATTTTAAGGCAGTTCTCTTGCAAGCTACCACCCCAAGACTTCAAACAACTATGATTAGAAAAGAAAACAAAAAGAAAGGGAAGGTTTGTCCAGACCCAAAAATGGAACTTAAACTAAAAAGTATTAAAGAAACATTGATCTGTATAACCACACAATTAGACAAATACATAAAAAATGAGAAGTAGCAATTACTGAGACATAAACGTACAGTTTTGTGCAGATGAAACCTTTTTTTGTCCCTTCAACCTGAACCAATCGCAGCAGATGGTTTCTTCCTGTTAAAAGGGAGTTTTTCCTTTCCACTGTCACCAAGTGCTTGCTCTTGATGACAGTTGCTCAAGTTTGGGTATTTGTCTGTATTATTGTAGGCTCCCTACCTTACAACATAAAACTCCTTGATGCAACTGTTGTTGACATTTATCACTATATAAATTAAACTGAATTGAACTGAATTGCAGGCAATAGTTTTTAACCATCCCCTTCAGTCTGGAGTCTATCTCAGCTGTCATTGGGTGAGAGCTGTGGTACCCTCCAGATAGGTGGTCCGTCAAAAGGGGTTAACACAAAAAGACAGACACTCATTCATGCACTCATTCACGCCTATGGGTGATTTAGAAACACCACTTCCACAGTCCAAACTCATGTTTCTGGACTGCCGTGTCTTTGGACTGTGGGAGACCTGCAGAGAGCCTCCACAGACACTGGGAGACAGCCCTGTCACTTAGCTCGCAGTAAAAAGGTGCTTTTCCCCAATTACTGATGTTTAAACTAGGACTTCTGTGTTTTTTCCTATCAAGAATTCAACTCCCACACCTCTACAATAATTACAAAACTATTCTCACTTTTCTCACGCTTTGCTTGAAGGCTTTGATTGTGTGACAGTTGTTCAAAAAGTCATGGAAGCGGTTTTGTTCAGAAAAGAGTTTGGGAGAGACGTGAAAAAGTGTTGCATGAACAGATAACCGGGGCCACTACATTCAAAAGAAAGCTCTCATTTCCACCTGCAGTAAGCTATAGGTAGTGTAGGAACCTCCTCCTGTTCTACCTGCTTGTGTGGAAAGCTGGAGGTGTGTAGAACAGCAGCCAGATTACTGGGCAGAACAGAACAGGCATTACAAAGGATACAGTATTGATTGTCAGACACAGCATGAAAGGAGAGGCAGGGGTGGAGCTGGGTTGCAAAACAGTTTGCAGATCTGTAGCAACAGTAGGGAGACACTAACGCCTTATATAAGATTTACTGATGAGATTTAGACGAGAATACCTGAGGTACAGGTGATGTGGGAGTTTCACAGCTGCTTGATTAGTTGTAAAGGGCTGTTGTAGTATTTGAAGTATAAAAAATTGCAACTGCGGTGCATTTACCTGGTGGGTGCCTAAACATTTAGTATAATTTGATGTCAAACTCTCTGCTTTTCATATACCTTTACCTGTGTGCTCTGCTGTGTCTTTCCTCAGATGCATCAGTCAAACAGAACATTGTGGAAGACTATGGCTCTACTTGTCCCCAAGGCTATAAAAGATTCAACAGCACTCACTGTAAAGGTAAACTAGAGCCGTGAAAAGTATTTTCCTCCTCCCTGAATTCTTACTTTAAACAATAAGTGTTAATATTTGACAAAGATAACCTGGGTAAATAGAAAATGCAGTTTTTAAAATATGACCTTAGTTAAGTTATCCAAACCCTTTGTGAAAAAGTAATTCCCCTCAGTAATGAGGGACTTTGGGACTCTAATGAACCACGGTGAGAGCCATTATCCGTAAATGGAGAAATCTTGGTACAGTAGTGAAGCTTCCCAGCAGTGGCCAGCTGACAAAAATTACTCCAAGAGCGCAGCGACGACTCATCCAAGAGGATCTTCAGGCATCACTTTCCATCTGTCAAGGTCAGAGTTCATGTTTCAACAATAAGAAAGAGACTGGACAAAAAAGGAAGCCGTGTGAGAGTCCAAGGAGAAAACCACTGCTGACCACAAAGAGCACAAAGGACCGTCTCAAATTTGGGTCACTCCATGTCAAACCAGCCATTTATTTAGAACACTTCTTGCTTGAGCGTCATCTCGAATTTGCGTAAACATTTTATGGCCCACAGTTTGATCACACACAGTTTCATGTAATAAGGTCAGTGAATTTTTTCCTTTATATATTAAATGTTTTTCAGGGTAATTTTGCTCTCTTTTTTTAATTTGCAAAGTGTTCTATTGACCCACTCTCAAACCATTTTTTCACACATTAAAATCTGAGCCAATATTTGAACATGAATATTTCAAAAACAATTAAAGATAAAGCGTCTGGACTTCTTTAAGTTGCTCGAAGACCAGCAAGTCCACCGTAAAGGTTTTGGACCCGCCTAATCAAAGTTCCATTGAGATGCTTTGGCATGACTTCAACCTGGCCGTTCGGGCCTTCAGTGTGGCCCGTGAAAGACTCTTTGCCAGTCATCACAAACACCTGACTGCAGTTCTTGCTGTTCTTTAGGGGTCAATTACTTTTTCACACAGATCCAAGTAGGTAACATAATTTAAAAACTACATTTTGGGTTTACTCAGGTTGTCCTTGTTTAATATTAAAATTTGCTCAATGAGGTGAAACATTTACGTAAATGTGCAAAAACAAATTTAAAATTCAGGAAGGGGCCAAATACTTTTTTACAGAATCCAGGAGTAGCTTATAACAAGGAAAAGAACAGTTTAAAGCCAAGTTTAGGAGTTGTTTCTGCCATTTAAATTTTAACCTTATCTTTTCTTGACCCTGAAGATATCAACGAGTGCTCCATGCAGGGCGTCTGTCAGAACGGAGACTGTTTGAACACACTGGGCAGCTTCAAGTGTTCATGCAAATCTGGTTTTGTCTTGGAGAGAAATCGATGTGTTGGTGAATATAAACCCTCTCTGGCTTTCTTCTCTTCTCTGCTTTGTATTGCACAGAAACAAAGCACAAGACATGAAAGAATCGTTCCAAACGTGTAATGTACTGTCGGGATAGATTGCCACAACACTTTTCTCCTGTGTTAGAGTATCCCCCTCTGGGTCAGTGCTTCCGGATAGCATCCAACGACAGGAGCTGCAATTACCCGCTGCCGACCCCCCACACCCAGGTGGTATGCTGCTGCACAGTGGGCAAAGCCTGGGGCCGAAACTGTGAAAGATGTCCTGAGGAGGGCACAGGTGAGTCAGTTTACGGGTTTTACTTCCTGCCACGTCGAGCGTCGTGTTCGTTTTTGTCACGGGGACATCAGTCCACTCGCTGCACACCAGCATAGTCTAGAAACAAAGTTACTTATTTATGATCAACAGAGAATTCCTCTTTAAATAAATAATCATTATTTTCATTTAGCTAGATATATTGTAGAGATTTTTCCAGGTCATTATGCAGCTCAGCTCTTCATTCTTGATGACATGAAAGTTTGAAATAGAAATAATAATAACAAAAGAAAGCGTTCGAGCTTTCCATTTTGTTGCCCATGCTTGAAGATACAGTTTGCTGCTGTGTTTGATAATTAGTTAAAATAGTTGCACAAAATAAATCGTTACAGCTTCTCAGATGTAAACAGTTTCTGCTCTCCTCAGTCTGATGGGATGAATAGAATAAGAAAAAAAAGCAGGATATTTTGAACTGTTTGGCCATTAAGTGAACTAAGTAGAATATACTTAATTTTCTTTTCATAATTTAATTTAAAAAGATAAACATTCATACATTGCTCCAAACAAATTAAAGTCAAACTATGAAAACATACAAGAGCTCAGTGGGGAAATACACTCATGCTGGATATCTATACTGATATGGACCGGGCGATGTGTTAGGAATGAAAGGATGACACAGCATTTGATGATGAAATAAAAATGATTGATCTGCAAAAGGCTGAATTTAAAGATCCCTGAAAAAAGGTGAAAAATTATGCAGTAGGCTGATCCAGAAGGCTCTGCTGAGATTTCACTGCAGCAGCTCAGAATGGTAGTTTGTATTGCCCCCATGTGCTGACATGCCTGACAACATCTGGGCACGCTCCTAATGGGAGGACAGACGGTGTCCCGGTGGAATCTCTGCTAGATCTGGATCAGGTCATCACTGAGCTCTTGGACAGTACAAAGTGTTGGTGCCAGATAAACTGAAATAGAGTTGTTTTATTGGATTTAGGTGAGGTGAGTGTTGGGGCCTTGTGATTAGTATCTAATGATTCATCCTCCAGGAACTGCCTGCGTACTCCACATGAGGAGTATTGGGTCTGAAAATGGGTCCAAGGATGTCATCCTGATGCCTAATGGCAGTCAGGCCTGTAGATTTGTGTGTGTCCCTCTGTGTCAATAGGACTTCACCATGCCAGGCAGGGAGCCTTAAGCCTCATGAAGTCTGTTTCTGATTGTTTGGTCAGAGACATTCACACCAGTGACCTGCTGGAGGTCATTTTGTGACTCATCCTGTCCCTCCTTCCACTAAGCACTTGATACCGGTCCTGCTGATGGGGAAAATGTCAGCGTTTTGGGGTTGTCTCATTGTTGCCCTTTGAGTGCCCCTGGTATTAATTTCATTACCATCATTCACCCCCTCTGTTACTCTACTGACCAGATCAATTATTTTTAAGCAGTGTAGTTTCTTTTTCTCTTAAAGTTACAAAATCTGCATTTTGGGATTTCCATATGCTTTTTAAACAATTTCTCTTTGCGGGGTTGGAGTCCAAAATGCAGTTTTTTGGTTGTACTTAAACATATCAACGGAGTGATTCTCCAAACTTACTATTAGTTGGCTGAACCTATTTTACAGGGTGTGAGAATTAAAGCAACATTTAAGTCCTCTCCTCTTTTTTCCTCCCGACGGCATTCAGTGGCCTTCAAAAAACTCTGCCCTGCTGGGAAAGGCTACTTTTTGCAAAACATAAGAGAGACGGTGCAAATCACCGTCCCCAGCGACCATGAAAACCAAGGTAAGTGCACAAAGAATCTCTTTGCAATTTTTAGAAAAATCTTTATATGAATCATGTGAATTGAGAGCTTAAATTTCCCTTTATTGCCGTTTCTTTCAGAGCACACCAAGAGGGTAAGATATAGTTTCTACATTTTAATACAGCAATAAAAAGCAATCGCTGTTGCCGTTTAAAAATCAGATCGTCTCTTCCAATCAGATTCATGCAGAGACAACGACCACTGCGCACCAGGTCCCCACCAGCACCACCCGTCCTCGTGTGCCTGGTAAGCGCACCTCGAGGGTCGCCTGCATGAGTCATACATATGAAAATTCATTCACTAAATGCACACTGCAGGGAACATCTGTAGACATTGTAGACTGAATGCTGTGAAGAATGATCAAACATCAGGACTTGAACATGTCATACATCCTCCTGAAGTCTGCCCACTTCATTTCTCCACAGTTATAAAACCCACCCCGCCGACAATCATCCGAATGACCCCCGGCAATGACCCCTTCGAAACACAAACAAAAGTCTTCCGTGAGTCTCAAACACAAGCCGTCAAACCAGCTTAAAAAAATCTCTTTCTATTAATCTCTTAAAGGGTTCTGAATATAAATGCTGGCTCATGTTTCATGCACCACAAAGGTAGAAAAAGCCAGCTCTCCACATTCCCCAGTAAGAGAAGATCCCCTGATGGGCGCTTGTTTCTCACAAATGACATGTTGACTTTCTCCGTGTGGTGAACAGCATTTGTCATGTGATGCACTCCATTTTTTTAAATTATTTTTGTTATTGTGCGTTGTTTTAGCACTCCACTTTAAAGGCTAAAACAATCCAACAAAAACGGGGGGGGGGGAATAAGTCAAGTAAGCCAATCTGATCTGACGCATGCTTTGCTTTAGTGATTACCTGATGCTTTGGGGCACCGTGCATGTCACATGCATTCAACCATGAAGCATGAACCAGCCTCAAGGCCGTGTTTACAGTCTCTCGGTTCTATGGAGGTGAAGTGTGCTGGTATTTAAGAGCAGGTTAGCAGGTAAGAGACACACTCCATTTCCATGAAATGAAAAAGAAAAAAACTGTGCCGAATGATAGCAGGAATCCAAAGCACTCACAGGGCTCAGCTTTTGTGCTTCGGCTGCTTTCATCTGGTCTGTCTTCTATGCAGATGTGTGACTTTTTTTAGAGTCTTCCTTGAGTGTAATTTCTCTTTCATGGCAGCTTCAGTCGGTCGTTTTCTATTCAGCTTTGTCACTGGCTTTAATTTGGAAAAAGTCTGACGCATTTCAGTGTCTGCTAGAATGCAAACAAAGCCAGTGACAGAAAAATGTAGGCACGGCATGGACATTTTCAGCTTTCTGCATCTATGTATCCATATATATGCATGTATATATATATGATGTCATTCTTTGTTTCCTCCTTGAAGCACCGACAGATGAATGCAGGCTGAGCAGAAACATTTGTGGTCATGGAGAATGTGAGAACAGCCTGACCGGGCACATCTGTCACTGCCATCCTGGCTACCATTTCAACCCGCAGAGGAACATCTGTGAGGGTAAGAGACAATGGTAGAGACAGGAGGAGCCAGCAGAGAGTAGTTTCTCACATATGAGTGTGTGATTTTTTTTTTCAAGCAATATTTCTCATATAGGAATGGAAAGGCACAGCTTTTAGAGAATAAGAACTATTATGTTAAATATTATGTAAAAAAAGCAACAACGGCAACAAAAATCTCTTTTTGAGAAACATTACAGTGGCTGCAAGAGCTCAACACATTGCAACTTACAAAATACCTGCAAATAGATTAAACACAAAATACACTGAGCATCTTCATCACTATGACAACATACGACTAAATGCAGAAATACTCTCCAAACCAGATGTCAAAGGTTTCCAGGTGACACAAAGATGTGTTAAAGTCTGCTTGTCATTAATGTTTTGTGACTTTTGACATTATTAAAGTCATCAGCAGTGTTAGAATTTCAGCTAAAATGGAACCAACTTCAATTTCAAATGTGTTTAAAGGCATAAAACACTGTATGGCAAAATGACACATCCCAAACCACAGTTAGAACTTATTTGTGCATGTGTTTTCCTGATGAGCAGTGCCTTGAGCTGTTTCAGGTGTAAAAATAGACACATAACAGGAATATTTTACATGTTATTTCCTGTTATAGCAGAAATAGCAGCTGTATTGACTTGGATTTGAACTCAAATTTCATGGTGCAGGCCTATTCACACTGAACAGCTACGTTTACACCTGTAACTATTAGCTCCCATGATACTAATAGTCTGTCATGTATCTTTTTGCTGGGTGCAGCCATTTTCTGTACTTTTCAGCAAGTCTCACGTGCGTCTCCTTGGCGCTCTCAGCCCATTCTTCTTTAGCAAATCTCTAGATTTGATCCTCCAGATTTGATGGTCTCCTTTAGTTCACCCCACAGATTCTCAATGGGATTCAAGTCAGGGCTAACAGCCTGGGGTCACATATGTTGTTGTTTTGTTGGACCACCAAAGCGAAGACACAGCTCGAGGTTTCTTATTTCGTGATTCTTTCCACCTCAACAAGATTCCCAGTTCCAGACACACTAAAGCATCCCCACATCATAATACTCCCACCACTATGTTACACTGTACGGACGGTGCTTCCAGTATGGATAATCTTTCTCCAGGTTGTCCTTAGCATACTGTCTGGCTTGAAGGTGTCTCTTCTGCAGAAGTGGAGTTTTTCTTGCTCTGATGCCTCATGGTCCGTTCCTCCCCACAGTTCTGGTTTCTGATTTGGCTGAGTCACTCACGTGTCTTTGAAGTTGGGTCTTTGAAACTCTCACTAGTTTTCTTTAGAGGCTTTGAAATCTTTCACTTCCTACCTCTGTCACGCTTGTTCAGTACTGTGTGTCTCTCTTTGAATTTACAGATGATGCTTCTCAACCCAGTTCTTGACATTTGATAACTTTACATATGCATCTCCTGCTTTGTGAGCATCAACAATTCTTTTTCTTTCAGTCTGATTTCTTTGGTTTTTGGCACAATGTTTTCTCCAGTTAACATCAATTTTAACTTTCTTTATTAAAAAGATAAACGCTTATCATTGCAATAAAAGGTTCAGCTATATTATTCACCTTGGTAATTTATATTTTCTGAAATAATTCTATTATTGTGTGCAAATAGAAATAATTTATGCTTTCTTAAGGAAACGGGTATGTTTATAATTTCTATGACGAAAAACTCATATTTTTAGCCACTATGCTTTTAATTTCCTGAGTAAAAGCCACTTGATCTCGCCAAACGACTGACATTCATTTGTGGTGAAAAACTCCAGCCATCTGTCCCTTAAGCTTTATGAGCCTTTGCTGTCTGTCTGTATTAAATACTGCTTTCACTTGACTCATTCTCTCACTCCTGTTGTCTAGATGATAACGAATGTGAGTCAGAGCCGTGCGGCCATGGCAGAGGCTATTGTGTCAACACAGAGGGAGCATACAAATGTATCTGTCGCCCAGGCTACAAACACATGGTGCAGCATGGTAGACTTAAGTGTGTAGGTAAGTTAAGCTGAGCCTTTCCAATATTAAAATGATTTTTTTTCTATATCCCTGCACTGACTCTGACCTCTCTGTGTTGCAGATGTGGATGAGTGCTTTAACCAGGACATCTGTGGTATCGGGGGTCATTGTGTGAACCTACCAGGCTCTTATAAATGTGAATGTCACAGCGGTTTTAGGAGCAAGTCACACCGTAGTCCAGCCTGTGAAGGTACAAAAACACAGGTCATTGTGACACTGTGCATACTAGAGCACAGGCCTCCCACTGACACAGCACCTACTATGTGTGTTGCTACAATATGCATGCGTCCGTGCTCTACTTGTTAATATGTGCACAGCTAGACGGTGTGTAAGCTTCTCCACATCTTTTTCAGACATAAATGAGTGTTTGAATCCCGACACTTGTCCCAGTGAACAATGTGAGAACACGCCAGGCTCCTACGAGTGTGTCCCCTGCTTGCCTGGTCATGAAGCCCGTGCTGGCATCTGCTATGGTAAGTGCAGCTCTGCCATACAGCAAAACTGATCACTAGTGGCCTTTTATCATCACACTAAAACTTTAAGAAAACCAAAACCTGCTGAGATTGAGACACAAAAAAAGCGTGACATTCATTTGCCGCCTTGTAATTTATGGAATAAATCAAGGTTAAGGTTTGGAGTGTGCACAGTAAGGACCTAAATGCAGGATGCAAGAGAAGAGTTTAAAAACAAAAAGCAAGACATTTATTTGGCTTTATTTTGCTCCCTGTGTCTGCGTCGGTGCTCCTACAGTCCAAGCACATGCACTTAGATTAAATGATAACTCGAAATTGGCTGTAACTGTGAATTTAAGCATGAATGTCTCTCTCTCTGGTGACCTGTCTTATGACAGCCGAGTTATGCTCAAGAACAAAATAATTGGATCGAAACAGTATGACATGACTGCGAGCAAAAGTGGACTGAGGCAGTAAATACACACAGAAGGCAATTAGGGGAAGTGACAGCACCTGGGAAACTAATCAAAGACACAGGAAGTAGAACTAAGAACAAGGCACAAGAGACTCACAAAATAAGACAAGAAGTCATACAACAGGATTCGGCAGTGAGGCAGACAGGATTAGGACCCAAATGCAGGGCTCTGGAAACCAGGAATGAACTCAAAAGCACAGCTTTATTGCTGGAAGTCCACAGGAAAACAAATCCAAAAACAGCTACTGGGCAGGAACTTGATTCTTAAAGTAAAACACAGGAGATACAGGGCAAAGGAACACACTACCACGAGGGAATACACAACAAAGAATAAATACACACGAGATAATGAGGGGTGAGGAAACAGGTGGGAATAATCACCGAGGACGAGCTGAGGGAAGTAGAACTAAACACAAAACACAGGAGACAAGAGATTGTCAAAATAAAACAGGAAATAAATAACACTGAGACACAGACTCAAACATCCAAACTTGACATGGAAACAGGGCTGACTTCCCAAAGGAGAGCTAAAAACCAAAACACAGAGATGAGGCTAGGAGAGAATGGACAGGAAAGGTAACTAGCAGCGTAGGAAACAAAGCTCTGAAGCACTAGGAAATGATATCATAGTCAAAGGACTAAATATAGAACTTGAACATAAATCACATGTCAAATCCCCCAAAATAAATGGCAAATACTTCCAGTAGCAGGAATTTGTAGTAGAGTGACAGGAACGGTTATCAAGTCTTGTCAAACCCAAACATCAAGATAATACGCAGGTAAACTCAGCAAGAATCTAAAGAAGAAACAGCGATCTGTGGCTACTGCATCACACTAAGTTGTTTGTATCTCTCCCACGTTTCACCAGATATTAATGAGTGTCAGAAGCCTGGCATCTGCCCTAACGGTCACTGTGAGAACCTGGCTGGTACCTACCGCTGCCTGTGCAACGAGGGCTTCCTCCCATCTGTAGACAGCAAAGCTTGCACTGGTAAGTAATGCTTTTGTCACCTGGAGCAAGCCTGTCTTAAAACTGAGCAACCTCATCCCCACAAGCGCATTTTAATGAGGAGTTGTCAATAAAAGAAGGTGTGTTTGCACCAGCTGGGTTCACTGAAATGATTTCTCCCACGCAGACATCGATGAGTGTGCGGACATTCGGCTGTGCGCTAACGGCCACTGCATCAATACTGACGGCTCCTTCAAATGCCAATGCTACCCAGGGTACCAGCGCACACAAGAGGGCAGCCACTGTGAAGGCATGAAACCATACACTCAGATAGCGCTGACAGTGAAATGCAATCTTTTAACCACCTGCTTTTATTAAGAGCACATAAAAAAAGTTCAGTGAAGCCTTGACCAGTTCGAGGAAAGAACAGAGCTCCAGCTTCCCATCACATGCTTCACATTCTGGCACTGTTTTTGTTTCCTTCCCGTCAGATATCAACGAGTGTAAAAATCCATCAAGCTGTCATGGGGGCCGCTGTATCAACAAGATGGGTACATACCACTGCGAGTGCCAGCAGGGGTACAAACTGGTCGGAGGCAGGGAATGCCAAGGTCAGTCGGTCACGTCATGTGTGTAATAAATGATAATGTTGTGAATTGGATTGAACACCACGTTTGGCCTTTTATTTAAAAATTTGAAAGGTCGTCATTTTTGTGAATCATTTAATGCACAAACAGCACACATTTTCCTTACTCACAACTCAGGTGTTGTATGAATTCCCATATTTAGAGCAGCCCGTCTGATTTCTCTTTCAGACATTGATGAATGCGCCTTGGACAGAAGTCTCTGCCAGCCCCACGGCTTTTGTGGGAACAAACCGGGATCGTACGAGTGTGTCTGCAATCACGGTTACATCCTCTCAGAGGATAGACACTACTGTGAGCGTAAGTCTGCTCTGATTTCCTCAGAAGACATAAATCATCATATTCTGTGTATGTATGAGCTGTTAAGGTCAAAAAGAAAGGGCATCTAGGCTTTGCATTATAGTAGGGTCTAACTTGAGGTGATTTGTGGTGATTTGGTGCTATATAAATAACATTGAACTGAGTTAAACCCAAGGCAGTTTGTAGCCCAGTGAAGTCGCTGGAAATCCACACTAAACCCTCCTCATGCTGCAGCTGTTCGAGTGCTGATGGATGAGAAGAAAGAGTGCTACCTGAACCTTGATGACACCGTTTTCTGCGATAGCGTCCTGGCCACCAATGTCACCAAGCAGGAGTGCTGCTGCTCCATCGGAGTGGGATGGGGAGATCACTGTGAGATCTATCCCTGTCCTGTCTCCCATTCAGGTAAATGTGAACCTTACCATGTACACAAAAAGCAAGTCAACTTATATTTGTGTTCAGTAAACACGTGGAAATTACATCATGTACTGTGAATTCAACTTTTACTTCTCCAACCCAGCCGAGTTCCACGACCTTTGTCCAAATGGGCAGGGTCTCTACTATGAAGAGAGTCTCCAGTACAACCTCCCGGCCTACCAGGGTAGGTATTGTGTAAAGTCAGAGCCAAGATCACATACTGCACACCAGAATTACACAGTGCTTAATCCATTCTGTGATGTTAAAACAATCTGAGCTCCACTTTAATCAGCTGCAGAGCCTTTGTTTCATCCATGTCCAAAGAAGCTGACAGTTTCTAATGTTTGTCAGTTAATCCCTCTGAGAATCAGCTGTGAATCTGCCGCTCAGGAAGCAATCTTTCTCTCCTTGTCCACAGATATTGACGAGTGTTCCTTGTTTGCTGAAGAAATTTGTAAGAAAGGTCGCTGTGAGAACACGCTTCCAGGCTACGAGTGCTACTGTCAACAGGGCTTCTACTACGATAGCAACCTCCTTGAGTGCATTGGTAAATCCCTCCCATAAAAATATGTATTAAAGGTTCATTTTGAAAAATCAAAACAGAGATTTTTAGGTTCTTTCTAAAAGATGTTTGATGGATTCTTTTCTTGTTCTTCCCCAGATGTGAACGAATGTCACGATGAGTCTATGTGTACTAATGGCCGGTGCATCAACACTGAAGGGTCCTTCTACTGCAACTGCAATCAACCCTGGGTCCCAGACTCCAACAGGAAAAAGTGCGTAATGGTAACAGTAGCAGGTTAGTATCTTCGCCCAGCTTAAACTGCATTTATCAGGATACTATAGGAATAATCCTGAACACTGTTTGTTTTGGGTTTTTTGCGCAGATGTGAATGAGTGTGAGAACCCAGAAAACTGTAAAAACGGCCGCTGCGTGGACACCCCGGGCTCCTATTACTGCATCTGCTCTCCACCCTGGACCCTGGCCACTGACCGCAACAGCTGTGTGACTCCTGAGGAGCAGGCTGGTGAGTGCAGACTCCCTGCAGTGGGAGAGACCAGTGATCAGTGTTAAATGTTACGTAAGTGTTTTATGTAAGACAAAATATTTCTGTGCCTGGTTAAAATGAATAACGTCTGTGAGCCATTTTAAGCTGGTTACTGCAGCTGCACTGCATCATGCACATATCAAACCCCACTCTCTCCTCACATCATATATCAATAATACACTTTGAAAGCCTTTGGGGGGGTTATATTTACGCTTCACTCCCCAAGTTTTGTATAATATATTTGTAGGGAGTGATGGTCTTGGAGCCTAGGTGCAAAACTAATATATTCTGCTGCTGCTGTAATAAATGTGTCATTTCAAACACACAATACTGTGCAAAAGTCTTGACTCACCCCTCCTTTCTTTATGCTTTGTTTGCAAAGAGTCAGACCTTTCTCGTAGTGACCTTGAGCAGTAGTTTTCCATACTTTTAGGAGGTCTTTCAAAGTTTTTCTTGGCTAATTAGCTGCTTTTTCACTTATTTTCAATCCAGTCCTTGCACCTGTCCATTTTCAGAGAAGTGTTTCTTTTATTTGTTAAGCCATTTAACACTGATCAAGCATAAAAAGGCACCCAACTCAAGGGATCTACCACTGTTGTGTTTACAGAACCAATTTTAAATTGGTTTAAATATTTTTTTACTTTATTACCAGGAACCTGTATTTTTGCACCAGCCAGATGATCCTTAAAGAGCTATTGGCCAAAGATTTGATGTATTTTGGCATGGTGTGCAGTGTGTCCTTAAAATATCTGAAGAAACATGACAAGTTTTTCTGTCTCATCTATAACAGATGAACGTTATCTGAACCTCACGTCTTTAATAAATAGGGGCTCATCTGAGTGAAGCCTCATCAGAATCAGTCTCAGTTCTATCAAGAAGCCAGACTGATTGAATAATAAATCCAAATTTGAAAATTATGATTCAAATCATCATCACTGTGTTCGCTGGAAGTAAGAAGAAGAAATGACAAGAAAGCTCTTCTAAGAGGGTTCAGGCTATGCTGAAGAATAAAGGTGGCCAACTCTACAGTTATGTTAACACACGCTTCAATAATTAGCTACAACCATTTCCCATTTTTCTAGAAAAATATATAATGTTATGAGACTCAAGACTTTTGCACAATACTGTAAGTTGTCTGACTGTGTTTTGTTTTTTTACATGTAGCAATGGTGATATAATGAGAGTGATGTTTTATCAAGTCAACAGAGTTAAAGCATATAAAGATTGAAACCTTGTGCTTGTGCTGTCCACATAAATCAGTTGTGAATTTCACAACAACCTGTGAAGTTGTGCTTGTGATGGAAAAATGTTATATTTAGACTGTAGACAACTGTCTCAGTCCAGTGCTGTAACAGACAGAGTTGTTAAAAATAGCCTCCTTATTCCTCTACAAGTATTAGGTTTGGCTTTAATAATGCTTACATGTTCTCTAATCTAGATAACTCCAGTCAGCGGTTGTCTTTGTGATGTCCAGTGTGATTGCTGCTTGGATCTGTGGCTCATCAGTGTCAAACATTGAACAAATATTACATTTGTTAAGGAGAAATCTGCATGTTGATGAGATTTTTGAAGTAGTCGCTTTGTTTTCAATACTGGAAAAAAGAAGGTTTTGAGTTCCTGGTGTTACACAACGCTGGAAAAGAATGACTTATCATGTAGCTGTTTCATAAATCTTGAAGTTAATGTTGTGGATGGAAAAAATAACTGGGCTTTCATCTGGTCATCACTCAGTGCTGAGCTGCATCAGCTACCAGATAGGCCTAGCTGTCCCATGGAGTGTAATTTTGCTAATATCATGGTGGAAAAATCTGTGTTATACAGGAAAATTGCTTTTTTTCCCATTATGACCAAAGGCTGAGGACTTGCAGTTAGAATTACAATTGCAAAGCAAATGAAGTAAAAAAGTCGTATTGAAATTCAGCAGTGAAGAATGACTTTAGGGGGGCAGTACGATGAACATACTGCCAGAATTCCTGTGTAAATGTGGTCAGTCTTTTAAAGTGGGCTCTCAACACCATGTGTATCCTTGTTTTGTCTGTTATACTATATTTATGCACACAACCAAACTGTGGGTTTGGAGTGTGTCTCATGTTGCAGCAATGACGCACCATTGCAGATGTGCAGATGAAGTTCACAGAGGCACTTTGCTGCTGAATAAGGTACAGTTGGGACATAGATGGTTGCCTCAAATTTCAGATCGGTTCTGTCCCACAGAATGGAGGATTACACCTTACAGGTGACATGGGAAGCAATAGCTCATAGTGGAGGAGTTCAGGTAACACAGGATCATATTAAGAATCTTGGCACTGACCTGTGGTTCGGGACATCGGCTCCTATAAAGCTGACCAGCTCTCATGTTAGCAACAAAACTAAAATGCTACATGCACATGAATTGTCAATTTAAGTCCCACCAGTGGTCATAAACCTCAAGCAGGATACAAGCAGTCAAAATCCCTAAAATTAAAAGAACTCTACCAAGACCAATCCATTGCATCATGTCATCAAAACAAGGCTCTAGCAGCTCCTGGAAAGTCCACCTCAGTTTTTTGTGGCTGACATGCTAGAGTTGCAAAAATAGAGAAAGCTTCTTAGATAACAGGACCCGGACTCATGAGAGTACGAAGTATAAATGGTTTGGGTCTGCCTGTTACCACTACAACCACGACATAAATAAATTACTAAGGAACAGGTGGATGGATACTGATGAGTCTAAAATAAACTTACTTCTACATATGCTCTTGTCATAAAATGTTAATTTTGGAAAGCATAAGGCCTGTGTAAAATAGTTTGTAACTGTATGCTTTTCACAAAATCCTTGGTACTTCTGTACTGAAAATAGAAATCAAGCGTATGAAACTGAAAACTGTGAAAATCCACTGTGATTAGGTCTCTATTTTAAGAATGACATCTAAGTATTTGGTAAAACCCTATTATGTAGGTTCTAGTCTACAGTAGTCCCACCATATTTTGTTAAATTCAAGCTTCAAGGAAAAGAACAGAGATTTAAAGTAATAATAAACAGAACTCCAATCCAGGTAAATGGCCTACAGTGGGGAAAATAATTATTATAAGTTTCCTTACTTAGAAAGAAATGAACAGTCTCTAATCTTTATGGTACACACAGATTGCAATCAGTCAATCAATTACAGATACTCCTGATCTCAACTCGTTATGTGTATAAAACACACGTGTCCACAAAATCAGTTTCTTCCAATCAAACCTCTCCACTACCATCGGTAAGACAAAAGAGCTGTCAAAGGACATCAGGGATGGAACGGACGACAAGACCATCAGTAAGAAGCTTGGTGTGAAGCTGCCAGCTCTTAGTGTTATTATTCATTATTCAAATGGAAGAAATCTAAAATGACCATCAGTCAGCCTCGGTCCGTAAAAGATCTTGCTTCATACGGTCAGGATGATGAGGAGAAAGGTGGTGAATCAGCCCAAAACTACACGGGAGGAGCTGGTTCTTTATCAGAAGGCAGTTGGGAACACAGTTACCAAAAACACCACCAGTGTGCTTTAATGGACTGAAATCTAGCAGCGCCCAAAAGGTCCCTCTGCTCAAGAAGCCACAAAAACAAGCTGTTTGCCAGTGAACAGCTTAAATGATTCAGAGAAGCCTTGGGAGATGCATTCCCACACTCAAGCATGGAGTTGGAAACATTATGCCTTGGGCTGTTTTTCTGTTAAGGATCCAGGACGATTTTACTACGTTGAGAGGCCGTATAAATTAAAATCTTGGACAAGAACCTCCTACCCTCAGCCAGAAGACTGAAGATGGGTCACGGATGGGTCTTCCAGCACAACAGCGACCAAAACAGCAAAGGATTGGCTAAAGAAGAAGCATATGGAGTGGCCTAGCTAATCTCCAGATGTCAATCTTATAGAAACTCATTGCTGGGAGTTGAAGCTTTGAAGTTAAGTGACAGCCAAGAAACCTGAAGGATTCAGAAAGTTTCTGTAAAGTGAAGCAGGCCAAAATCCCCCCTGAGATGCGTGCAGACCTGGTGACCAACTACAAGAAACTTGACAACAGTGCTACTCCTTCAAGAACTAAGTCATGATCCGTTTATAACTTTTATGTAATGTGTTTTTTCTGGCTTTTTGGTTGATATTCCTTCTCTCTCTATTGAAATTAAACTACCATCAAAATTAGACACTGTTCATTTATTAAGTGAGCAAACTTACAAATACAGCAGGTGATCAAAGAACTAGTTCAGCCACTGTGCATAACAGTAGATTCTTACTTTTAAAGTGTCTTTAAATTTATTGGCAGACTGAAATGTAGCTGGAACCGAGCATCCTATTTTAAACTTTCTGATACATCAGAGGAGTTCTAGGTGTTGTACTGTGCATGGCTAAATTTTATCACAAAAAACCTCATGTTTAGTATTTATGATAAAAATGTAAACAGGTAGCAAATATGACATACAGGGTAACTAAGACATAAACCTTACCCTTACAAAAAGAGCTCACATCAGCCTTAACAAAAAGCAACATCTGCAGGAAATGTATTTTTCACATCTTCTAGGAAATAAGTGGAAAAAATACTAGTTGCCAGACTGAATTATTCTGAATATCGTAATGTGTTTTTTTTTTCTTTTGGAATTAATAGCCGGCCCCAAGCAGATGTTCCTACTGTAACCAGTGTCTGTGGTGCCCTTTGCAGATGTGAATGAGTGCCAGGACCCCTCGTACTGTAAGAACGGGAGGTGTGAGAACACGCCCGGCTCCTTTCACTGCTTTTGTGACCCTCCCCTCACCTTCAGTGCAGCGCTGAAACAGTGCGTCTATGACGGTGGGTACAAAGCAGCGTCAGCTCACCTGAACCTGACCACTCAAAATGAGCTTTGGCTTACCTCGTCATCTGCTGCTTATGTAATTCCCGACTGTAATTCCTCCAATTTGTGTCCCATCTGCCCTTTACTGGCTCTATCTGGCATTTTACCCAATTTATAGAGAAAAAGTTTCCTGTTCTTTGTGTAGTTATGAAAAATATGGTGAATATACTTATTTAGGCACACAAACAATGCCAGAGTGTGTGACAGTAACCATATAATTTGCGCAACTCCGTCTGCATTTTTAAATGAAAAACAAACAACAACAAAGAAACATGTGCATCCTTTTTGTTTTGGGTTTTTTAAATTGTGGATGAAAATTGCATTTATTAGGTTACAGAATTAGTCAGCATCTGAAAGCTTCTCATTTGCTGGAGAAAGGCCTGCACGATACACGATTCACAGCATTCGTTTTCAATGCCAATGGAGTCATTTAATATTTGCAATTAACACCGCTGCACTTTTTAAGTGTGACAAACATTAAAAGTAAACATTATAATACTTTATTTCCAAGAATGTAGAGGCTGAGAACAAACAGATCCAAAAGCAAACGATCTGTAACTATTCGGTTTTTGCCTAATGAAGCTAAACTTCAGCCGTTTGTCTTTTTTGTCTGGCAAACAACAAGAGTGTTGTTTCCTATCAAACACAGTGCATGAAAGGCTGACAACCCACTCTCAATAATTCTGCAGAACTATAATATATTTTAGCCTTCTCATCTCATCGTATTAGCGTCTTACACTTGTACATCCATCATTTGTCACTACAAACAGAGACACTGCAGGAATTGTTATTTGTCAGCCTGTCAGTATCCTGCACATATGAATAACTTAGTAAAAGCAACAATTGTTGGTGTTTTTATGGTTTTGGTAACTCAATGCTTATCACGTATCCCTAGATACAAGACGTTATGAATAATTGAACAGAATAACTGAATCTGTTTGAAGTATATAGCGTGATCAGGTCTCCATCCTCCAAATGTAGTTTGAGACGTACACTACAGTCATACAAAAAGACTCTTTGCAGTCCAATGAAAAACTAAGTACACCCTTCCACATGTATTAAGAGGGTAAGTAGCAGCCAGGTGCTTCTAAATAAATCCACTTGATTAACTGATCATCAGCAAATGTGAGCACCTCTATTAAAGCAGAGGTTTTGGATGTTTGCTGGCCAGAAGGATTCAGGTCTTTGTTAACATAATGCCACAATCTTCCCAGGAGTGGACATCTTAGCAAATTCATCACAATGTCAGACAGCCCAGAGAAAATACAAGAAGTCAAGAGCTTCAACTCAGACAACATGCTCAGTTACCATGGTAATGTTAAAGTCAATGACAAGCACAATCAGAGAAAGAATAAACAAGCATTTCTTGTTCTCTTTAAAAAGATTTAGATTTAGTTTAGATTTGCAAACTTGCATTTTAACAAACCACAAGACGACAGGAACTGTGACCAGAATGCACAGCACCACGTTTGATTAAAATGAAACACAGCATATGCACAAACACTTCAAATCAAGCATCAAGCAAGGTGGTGGATGGGGTGATGATTTGGGCTTGTTTTGCGGACACAGGGCCTGCACCTTCACTCATTGAGTTGGCCGTGAAATCATTGCAGAGTATTTTAGAGTCAAATGTGAGGCAATTTCTAAATCTTGGCTGAATCTGGGTCATGTAGGGGAAAATGATAAAAACTACACAAGCAATTTTTTTTTATAAAGAGAAAAGAATCAAGGAGTTGCAGTGGCCCAGTCCAGACCTCAACCTGATTTAAATGCTGTAGCAGTACATTAAGAGAGTTGTGCATAAACAAATGCTTACACGTTTCAGTTAATTAAAGCAATGTCATAAAGAAGAGTGGGCCGAAAGTTGTTTTACAAGTTTGAATCATGGGGTGTATTTAGTTTTTCACAGGACTCCATGCAGTCTTATTTTCATTTGACTGTGTATGGGCAATTGTATTTGGCCACACCTCTTACTTCTCTTAAGAGAGATGCCGTCTGCCTTTACAAACAAAACAATGGGTTTCCCTAAATGTCGCCCTGAATTTAAGCATTGTACTACAAGGATGCCACTGTGATGACACAAAAAGTCCCTTTTACATGATCCCATGATCAACAGTAGTGGTATTATTATGAAGTGAAAGAGTTTAGGAACCAAAAGCAACTCAGCCACAAAGTGGCAGACCATGTAAAGTCAAAGCGGTGTGGCCGAGTGCTGAGGCACATTGTGTGTAAATGTCACCAACACCCTGCTGACTGAATAACTGCAGAGTTCCTAACTTCCTCCGCCTTAACAACAGCACAAAAACTGTGTGCTGAGAGCTTCATGGCCCGGGTTTTCATGGCTGAGCAGCTCCTGTAGGTTTAGGCTACGTTCACACTGCAGGCGAAAGCGCATCAAATCCGACTTTTTTGACCCTATGCGACCCATATCCAAGCATGGTATGACAGTGTGAACGGCACAAATCCAATATTTTCAAATCCGATCTGGGTCACTTTCGCATGTGGTACTGAATCCGATACATATCTGATGTTTTAGAAAGCGACTGCTGTTTGAACGGTCATGTTGCATTAAATCCGTCAGATGCCAATTATCAGCGCCGGAGAAGCGCCCGATAAAACATCGCGAACGCTTCCTGGCCATCCCATGTAGATGTCAGTGAAACTGTTGGGAAGACAACGTTGGAGAAACATGAACATTTCATTTGTACTGTATAATCTGCAGATTCTGACAGAAATCTGCAACTATCCTTTGAAGCACCGCTCCTCTCTAAAACAGCAATAAGGATAATTATTAGGCCATATGTAAATAACAAAATAACTTTATAACTTAAAGCAAAATTGGGAAACGTAAAGTCTGAAACAAGTCTTTATATTAAGGGCCGTCAGTCAAACAATACTGTTTGGTTCGAGTCTAAACAGAGCACGTTGTGTGTGACGTCTTCTTTTGCGCATGTGGCCGCTTTGAGGGTTCACACTAGAGCGCGTTTCCTGTCACATTTTATTTGTAGTGTGAACAAGCAGACATAAAAATCGGAATCGAGCATTAAGACCTGCAGTGTGAACGTAGCCTAAGTGTGTGGGTGGCCCGATACTTTTGTCCATATGGTGTAGATGGATATACATGTCTGAATGGGCGCCTGATGCTTGTTACTCCCAGATATTACAAGCTTGTAAAAAAATAGTATTTGTGTGCTTACTTTGTAGTACAAATAAAAATGTACATTTACTGTTTTTAGGTGTAATTTGCAATGTGAACCAATCTGACTTTTTTCAAATATTGTATATTAAGATTAGTATTCTTTACCTTCTCTTATTAAATACACTTGAACACTGAGATCAGTTAAAATTTCATGACTTGTTTTTTATCCTTTTTTCCATCTCTAGATCGGACTGCAGCTCACAAGGATGTGTGCTTCACGCGAATTGAGGAGGGCTGGATCTGCAGCGAGCCGCAGAACCGGGTGGTGACGTATTCAGAGTGCTGCTGTCACTTCGGTCGTGGCTGGGGGCCCGAGTGTAACAGCTGCCCTCCCAGAAACTCAGGTGAGCTACTGAAAATTTACCAGACCTCTTTAGGACCTAATCCATTTATTGAATTAACAAGAATTTTATCTGTTTTACCCAGCAATGTTCAGCCATCTGTGTGGGATGCATCTTGAGACGGAGTCAGACGGGGAACAGGATTTGCAGGCAGCTTTTCCCAACTACAACCCGGGTAACACTCAATGACAGTTTTTGTTAAAAATCAGTGATAGCTGAAACATTCCTGCCCTCAGACAAGGCTTATTTATTTACCTCTTTCTGCCCCTATTTTCTCTTTTCCCCTGGTTCGTTTTGTGAAAAGGTGACAGTTCAGAAGAAGATTCCGACGAATGCAGCTGCGGACATGGCCGCTGTGTCCGTTCCTACCTGGGCACCATGTGTGAATGTAACCCAGGCTTTAGGCTAGACTACTCGCGTGCTCGCTGTATAGGTCTGTCCTACATATACACTACAAAAATGCAAATACACATATTCTTTTAGAGTCCTAGATTCTCTTATTAGTTTATGTACAGCAGCCAATGTGCAGATTATAACTTTGTTCTGTCAAGTAATGTTTGGATTTCTGTTTTATGGCTCATTGTCACTAATGAATACTTGTTTTTCTTTGTTCCAGACATTGACGAGTGTGCAGAACCAGATGTCCGTGTTAGTCCATGCAAGAACGCTCGCTGTGTGAACACTTCTGGCTCGTACAAGTGCTTGTGCAAGCAAGGCTTTGTGCACACGCGTAGGCCAAACGTGTGCATCCGTCGCAGAACTCGGTAACCTTTGTGCGTTGCTCTGCGTGCCGCTACGTCTCTCCCCATCTACGCGGCGTGCACAAACAAACCAGCACGTGCAGCTCTTACACTCCTCTCTCATGGTACATACATGGGACTGTGTGAACGCAGTAAACATACAAACATGTTGTCATCGGGAGCCACGTCATAACAATATAAAATGTACAAAACATATCATTGTCAGCCCCTTTTTCATTGGCCAGTCCACATTTTAAAAGATTTGCAACACAGACAAGGAATATGTTTGTTTATTTGTGCGCTAAAAGTATTTTGTAATTATTTTTTTATTTTGAACTGTTTTTGTAGTTTAAATTGTGCATTTTGTGACCTCCCAGTTCTTTTGAATTTTTGATTCAAACAATGAGGAAATGAGTTTCAGACATTTCTATGGTATTATAATTGTCTTTAACCTATTCAGTAGTTGTATATTGTAGGAATGCCTTGTGGTATTCCCATTTACATTCCCAGTTGCATCCACATTCTTTCATGTTTTAGTCATCTGGATTTTATTTCCTTGCCACACGTTGTTGACATTGTTTTTTTTTTGACAGTTTGTTTCGTGGATTGGTCCCTGTCCTCCCCTTCTTTATTTGTTTATGTAAAATATGAGAAACCTGAGGTTTTTGTATAATTTGACATGTGCACCTAAGTGGACTTAAGCTTGATAAAAACATTTCACGCACTTAGCAATAAATATAGTGGAAATATTCGCGAAATATAGCTTATTCTGAAAAAGAAATCAAGCAAGTTTAACACCTATTGCCATTAAACACTGCATTAAAGTATTTAGAAAGCCAAAGATGCTGTTGTGATAAGAAGAATTTGATTAAAAAAAATGACAACCTTTCATGCATTTGTTTTTCTTCTGTTTGAGGGAAATATGTTTTTTTCCACACATATGAAGATATGTGGAAAATAGCAATGCTTTAAGTTCAGACAGACACATTCAGGCAGGGAGGCACAAAGTTCTCCCACAGTCATGTTCAGAAATATGCCGGATCAGACTGTGGATGATTCAGTGTTGCCTTTCAAGCACGCCTAGAAAGCAAATAAACCCAGTGCATGGCAGAGTCTCCCAAGATCTTCCATTAGATTTATGTTCATGTGCTTTTTTTCCCTCCACACACAGTACTGATTTCACATTTTAAAGGTACAGTCAGATCATTCTTGAGTTTATTTAAAAAGAAAAATAGAATGTTGTACTCATAAATGCACCTTAATTAGTGTGTAATTACATCTGCTTATTCTCATGAGCTTAGAAATAATTCATAAAAAAAACATAGGAGTGGGCTTGTGTAAGCCATCATGCTGCCCCACCAACTTGAATACAGTTCAATCTAAATGCATTTTTATATGTGTGTACAAACCTGCCAATCTTCTTCCTCCTCACCTCAAGTGAGCTAAAGTCAGGGATCTAACTGGGGTTTTCCCGATACTAGAATTTCAGACTTGTAAACCAGGAAAATGCTTAATACTCAATACCATTTTCAATAGCACGAGCAAGATTTTTATTGTATCCTCACACAAAATAAGTACGACGGAGAAGTAACTCCTTGGAATTGGAACAAATGTTCCGAATTATATTTAACAAAATATTTTGATAATTTCATTAGCAAGCCATTTTAACTACAACAAAAGCTGGTTATAACCTAAAATTGTTGTTTTTCAATAAGTCTTTCAATAAGTGTGTGAGTTCAACAATGTCCGGCAGTTTACTAACAACAGATACCAGTAGCTACCAGGCGCTAATAGCAGCTAACAGAGGCTAACAGCACTTAACTGTAGCAGAAACAGCAGCGCTTAATGACAAGTTCAGGATATCCTCAACAACTCACCTCAGTATCGCTATGAGGCAGAAGTGAGCTTCACTAGCCCCTCGACTTGTATCCTGCACCTTTCACAAAGTTTTACAGTGTCCTCCAGAGTAAATACAGATGAATGGTGGCCAGTGTTTGTCCTACGGTGGCTACCATAGCTTGGATTACGAACGTAATTATGCAGTTCAACTGGTAAGTAAGACAGCAGAACTCAGTTGATTGCAATCTGCAATCCTCTCATATTTAGTGGTGAGATTTTAAATACTGTAGGCTTAAACATTCTGCAGCATCAGGAAGTGTTTATAGGTAGATTTTGTTATATTCAATAAAAAAGTTTAAAGTAGTAACACAGGACAAATGTAGCCATTCCTCTAAGTGCTGCAAATGAGGTCCTACAGATGTTGGATATCAAAGCTTGAAAGTCTTGTCCATAATCATTTTCTACAAGTTAATTTTTGATCTAAATCTTAATCTCAAGTTTCAAACACAATCAGTTTAAACTAGGGCTAAACTAGTGGTGAAAATGATATCCTAAACTTAAAAGCCCACAAATGTTATCAGCTACTTAAATAATGGCACCATCTTGTGGTCTCTTTGTGTCACTATAATTCCTTCAGTGTTGTGGACATTATTGCCAGGGGCACCACTAAGGGAAATTTGCTGCTGAAATGTGAAAGCTAAACTGATTTAGCTCTCAGATACAACTGGATTTGACAGAGATTTGCACAGATTTCACAAAGTGTTTTCCCACTATCTGAGCATTAAAACAGTAAAATAGTTATCTATTTGTTTTTATAGGGGTAGGATATTCCAGGCATTACTTTTAGTGAAACGATATGCAGAAATTGACAAAATTTGTCTATTGGTCAGCTGGCTGTGGGTTGGTATAATGTGTGACCTGTTACATGAGGAAATGGTCTGTATTTTGAACTCTCTTTTTCCTGAACAACTACAGCACAATGCCATTTCCAACATAATTATTGAGGACAATCATGAAAATACTGCGGAAGAGGCCGATGAACAGGGTAGTAATGGTGAGAAGCCAATTTGGAATTAATCTGAAGCTGAACGTGACACTGAAAATGATTCTGAGGATGATGTTAGTGCTCTCTAGCCTGGTACCTGGAAGTGGCCAAAAGAGGATGATAATGATGACAATGACCAGATCACCAATAACTGATTCAGGCCCTCCAGCGAACTGTCAGACACCACCTCCAGCAGTGGGAATGACTCTGATGAAGTTCCATTGTGCACATTTAATAGTTCTTGAAAATACTCAGGCCGACAGTGTTTCTTCTCCAGTAGAAAGCTGTGTCGTGATAGGCCGTGAGGCGTCCTGTTAAAAAGTTCACACTGTGTGTTACCTTGACGATGATTCAATGTTTTCTTGACCTCATATAACCTGTGCAGCTCCTGAAATACCCCATTTTCAAAATTTCTGTTTTGAACTGAATGCTCTCGGGCACACAGTACCACTTAATAAACCACTCTCAGAGAAGGACTTTGGCAGTTGTACCAGTATTTGGTCATGTGAAAGTCAGCGTGAACTTCAAATCAACAGGTCTAGTGGCTAGAAAAGGGTTCATGAGAGCACGTCTTTTGGGCTGCAGCAACTTACTGGGCACACACCTCTGTAACTGTTAGACCCATTTATCCACATCATCATACATACATCATACCAACTCAAGTCTGTCTTAACAGATTCTGCGTGCACTCCAGTCCCTGTTGTACACTCTCCAGAACAGCTTCCTGTAAACAAAACAATACTCTCTTAAATGCCCATCATTGATTACTTAATACAGCAATCCTTCAGTTTTCCTGACTTGGGGCCACTGTCAGAGCAGAGAAGTCAAAGGTTTAGCCAAACCTTTTCTCTGGTGATGGGTAAGCTTTTTCTTTTGGGCTCAAAACTGCCTGAACTGTTGCAGCTCTTACTTAGCATAACCTGCCAGAGTGGATGTATTGCCCTGGGAGTCTCTAAGGTGACTATCTTGCTCAGTTGCCATGACATGAGTTTGCCTGACCTGACAACACTTTAAGCCTTACGCTTACTATCTCTGGCACTAAAGCTGTTGCTCAGTTGATTAAGTTACAAATGGATATACAGCCATCAAACTCCTCTTCATCTCCCAAAAGGTGGAGCAGAGGGTGGTTTTCTGTTTGTACAGTGAATTTGCAGCCCAGGAGATATTTCTTACATTTCCCAGACAGCCCATTTGAGAGCGAGCAGCTCTCACTTCATGTTGCTGTAATTTCTGTTATTTCTTTCTGCACTCTTCAGTCTCCTACTGGCATATGCTATGACATGTTTTCTGCTACCCTGCACCTGGCAAAGAACTGCTCCCAGTCTTAAGCTGTTGGCATCCATCTCAAATATAAATGAGAGCGAGAAATCAGCAAAAGCGAGGAGAGAAGCACTCGTAAGCCTCCTCTCTTTCAGCTATTCAAAAAAACTCTTGGTGTCCTCAAACTTTCAAACTGGTTTTTTTACATTTAGCTGGGTATTTTCCCGAACACTCACATTAATGTATTCATGTAGTGCCTGCAAGCTACAAAAACCCTCCTGTAATAACTTTTTTGACATAAAGTCCAAAGAATCACCCCAGTCTTCTACTGTGGTGTGTACTGGCCACTGCTTCACAGCGGCTATCTTGGCTGGGTCCATGCTTAGCTCCTCACTCAGCTGAGATCTGATTCTAAAGTGTATACTAGATCAGGGGAGGTAACATTTTGACAGCCTTAAACTTTAACCCGGTGTCCCTGAATCTTTGCAACACTGTCTGAAGACATGCCAAATGGTATTCAAAAGTTGATGAGTGGACTAATATGTTGTTTTAGTATACAAGCATGAAAAGACTAAAAGGCATTTACAGCGACATGCATGAGTCTTTCCAAAGTCGCCAGACCACTGCAAACACCAAGATCTTTGTCTGAGCGTAACACTCTTCCTTACCACATTCATACCACCTCAACAATTTTATCTAAGGTAGCAGATGGCTTTTCTTGATTTCCATACATAGACGGACTTCCTTCGACTACATTTTCACCCAGTGATGTCATGCTCTTAGCACCTCTAGTGCCACTAGGCACTAGAAGACTGTTGTCTTCTAGAGACCAAGCAACAGCTCACTGAAATACATAAAAAAGCATTCACTCTGTCTTGTCTCTCACCATCTTGTGAAGCTCCCTTCACTGTGCAGAACTTCTTATTCCCTCCACAAAAACTGTTCTCTTGCTGCCATCTTTGCATCAGATACTGTGTCAGGCTTCTGTTTAAGGGATGAGTGGAAAATCTGGGTCAGTGTGTGCAAGTATTCAAAGAAATCTTCACCTTCCAGCTGGGGATGACTATGAAAGGTACCCAACAGCTGTGCTATACTGGGCTTCTCTGAGAAAACTCAATATTTCTCCCTTAGTGCATAAACAGATGTCTTCAAGTG